CCCCCCCTACCACAGACTTACATCTTTTGAGACGGTTACCCTGCCTGACCTTACCTTAGGTGGGCCGGCTGTCGCACGGGCGCTGGCTGGCGATGGGCACCAGCGGGCTGCGCGGCGAGGAGATGCGCGCAGTGCTGCACGCCGTCACCCGCTCGAGCGCGTCGGGCGTCGCGGTGGCCTCCTTCGTCGAGCAACTGCGGCACAAGATTGAGGCGTTGCCACCTTCGCCGCCGCCGCCACCGCCGCCGCAGCCGCCGCCGCCGCCGCCGCCGCAGCCGCAGCTGCCGCCGCCGCCGCCGCAGCCGCAGCCGCTGACCACTGCTGCCGCACCGACCGGAGCGGGGCAGCCACTTGACGCTTGGGGGGCCTATTGCATGTGCGCGTCTCAGCCACCCCAAACGTCTATGCCGCCTCCCTCGCAGCCGCCGCCCCCCGCCCTCCTCGCGCCGCCACGACCCTCCCCGTCCCGCCTGAGTAGCATGCCGCCGCCGTTGCCGAGATCATCGCCGGCTTCATCTCCGGGTCCGGGCGCGGCTGGCGGCAGCGGTGCCCGTTCCTGCAGCAGCGCCATGCTGGAGGCCATCCGTGCCAACCCGAGGGGAAGGCTCCGAGCCGTCGCCAAATCAAAGCCGCTGCCGTGATTGGGCGTGTTGTGCCCGGTGTCTGTACATTACATAGCGCCTCCCTCTCCCCTTTCTCCCAGTAAGCTAAAAGTACGTACACAGAGCCAGCTTAAAGCCGTACGAGAGAGTCTATATACGTAGACAGAAATTGCTTCACGAGTTACTTACGACGAGAAGAACCTAGCTAGAGCCGTAAACTGGCTCAAAAGGGCCCGGGGGGCGCGGACCTGCGCAGCTGCACGTTATACGGCTCTACCTGGGTGCTGGGAAGGTAAGGTAAGGTAAGGTAAGGTAAACTTCTCCACACACACGAGGTGGTGGGGCAAGGGGGGGCAACCCTCGCGTCTCCACGTCTGACGACAGGAGCCCCACGGCATTCAAAGTGCAAGGCCCAGTGCGCGTGGGTGAGCGGTGTGTGTGTGTGTGTGTGTGTGTGTGTGTGTGTGTGTGTGTGTGTGTGTGTGTGTGTGTGTGTGTGTGTGTGTGTGTGTGTGTGCTGGGAAGCGCGGGGAGTCGGGCACCGGGCGCAGGGCAGCCCACTTTGCCGCGGTGCAACACCTCCAACCAACAGCAACACGAAAAGACTTATTTGTTCATTTTTGTCGTTTTTTTTGTGGGTGTTTGGCGGAAAGACTCGACTTCTCGAGAGCGGAGCGTGTCCGGAGAGGTGGACGACTGCAGAGCGAGGACGACTTGAGGACGGAGCCGTGCCGTCTCATAATTAATGTAGAAACCTTAATGTAGAAACCTTTCCAGACACGGCCCGAAAACTAAAATCCTAACTCCCGGGAACAACATGATTCAGTCCCCATATCTCATCGCGCGCGGGTATC